TGAAGAAACTCTTGTAGTTTCTTCAATTGTGACTAAACAATAAACATTTGTATGTATTACATAGAGCAACAATACAGTCAATGATTGAAAAGTTAGGTCTCGATACAGATTACTTGGTTGACTTAGACTCATGTACTGCGAAGTACAAAACATATATTTAGGGTTAGTTCAGTTATAAATCCCATCTACTTGGTAAAAAATAAAAAGACGAGACTACAGGTTATAAACCCACGTCACTTGGTGAAAATAATAGGACGAGACTACAGGTTATAAGCCCCATCCACTTGGTTAAAATAAAAGTAGGAGACTACGGGTTATAAACCTGAACTACGAGACTAAATAAGAACAAGCCAGCGTTTACTTACACTAATGACAAGTGCCGGCGACTGGATTACAGTTCGAGCTGCTCTTCTACACGTGCTTACTCCAACTCGGTAACACATTGTCTGCCAACAATCCTGATAGTATATTAGGACGGCGCCCTCTACCCTGAGCTTGGCCTTTCGGTGGACGTATTCAGGCTGATATTATTTCTGGCCGAAGGCCTAGAGTCTTTTGTTCCCGATCCTTGTTCTAACACATAAGAAAATATTTATTTTTTTAGCCTTTTCCCTCTACAGCTGAATAAAAGGGAAGACCTGTTTATCCATTACGTCACACTACTTGTTTCCAAACTTTCACCAAGACTTCTCGCGGAGTTAAGGCTCTTCAGAAGAACGACGCCTACGCCATTTTTGTTTGAATTACTAACATAGTAAACAGATTTTAGTAAATCCACAATAAAAAATGCCTTAATCGGGGCCGTACCGATCGTTGATGGTGCACTGTGTGAGATATGAATTCCTCATAAAACCTAATTTATCCTTCCCTGGTTAGGATGGTTGACTCGCAATCTATGGGTGGCGGGTTCGAATCCCGTCACACCAAACATGCTTGTCCTTTAAGACGTGGGATCGTTATGATATAAATTCATAAGTTTGGTTCTCTCTGAATACTTCTAAATATTATAAATTCACAAGTTTGGTTCTCTCTGAATACTTCTAAACATTATAAAGTCATAAGTTTGGTTCTCTCTGAATACTTCTAAATATTATGAATTCATAAGTTTGGTTCTCTCTGAATACTTCTATATAATGTAAATTCATAAGTTTGGTTCTCTCTGGATACTTCTATATATATTATAGAGTCATAAGTTTGGTTCTTTCTGAATACTTCTATATAATGTAAATTCATAAGTTTGGTTCTCTCTGAATACTTCTATATATATTATAGAGTCATAAGTTTGGTTCTCTCTGAATACTTCTATATAATGTAAATTCATAAGTTTGGTTCTCTCTGGATACTTCTATATATTATAAATTCATAAGTTTGGTTCTCTCTGAATACTTCTAAATATTATAAATTCATAAGTTTGGTTCTCTCCGAGTACTTCTAAATATTATAAATTCATAAGTTTGGTTCTCTCTGAATACTTCTAATATATTATAAAGTTCATAAGTTTGGTTCTCTCTGAATACTTCTATATATTATAAATTCATAAGTTTGGTTCTCTTTTAATACTTCTAAATATTATTAATTCATAAGTTTGGTTCTCTCTGAATACTTCTAAATATTATCGAGTCATAAATTTGGTTCTCTCTGAATACTTCTAAATATTATCGAGTCATAAATTTGGTTCTCTCCGAGTACTTCTAAATATTATAAGTTGATACATTTGCGTGTCTCTGAATACTTCCGAATATTATAAATTTATACATTTGCGTGTCTCTAAATACTTCCGAATATTATAAATTTATATATTTGCGTGTCTCTGAATACTTCCGAATATTATAAGTTTATAGGTTTGGTTCCCCCTCAATATTTAAAAATTATTATTCATTTATAAGTTTTATTCTCAATGAATACTTTCAAAATATACGTTTAAAGGTTCGACACTCTCTTAATGCTGAGAAGAATTATAAATTGTAAGTTTCAGGTTCGACACTCTCTTAACGCTTAGAAGTATCAGATATCTTAGATAGCCTGCATAATGTTACAAAATCTATATATATCACACATGATATCTTAGATAACCTGCATAATGTTACAAAACCTATATATATCATACATGATATCTTAGATAACCTGCATGATATCACAAAATTTATATATATCACACATGATATCTTAGATAACCTGCATGATGTCACAAAATTTATATATATCATACATGATATCTTAGATAACCTGCGTGATGTCACAAAATCTATATATATCATACATGATATCTTAGATAACCTGC